AGGGTCGCAACCACTGAAGACACTGCATGAGGGTCGCAACCACTGAAGACACTGTATGAGGGTCGTAACCACTGAAGACACTGCATGAAGGTCGCAACCACTGAAGACACTGTATGAGGGTCGCAACCACTGAAGACACTGTATGAGGGTCGCAACCACTGAAGACACTGTATGAGGGTCGCAACCACTGAAGACACTGTATGAGGGTCGCAACCACTGAAGACACTGCATGAGGGTCGCAACCACTGAAGACACTGTATGAGGGTCGCAACCACTGAAGACACTGTATGAGGGTCGCAACCACTAAAGACACTGTATGAGGGTCGCAACCACTGAAGACACTGCATGAGGGTCGCAACCACTGAAGACACTGCATGAAGGTCGCAACCACTGAAGACACTGCATGAAGGTCGCAACCACTGAAGACACTGCATGAAGGTCGCAACCACTGAAGACACTGTATGAGGGTCGCAACCACTGAAGACACTGTATGAGGGTCGCAACCACTGAAGACACTGTATGAAGGTCGCAACCACTGAAGACACTGTATGAAGGTCGCAACCACTGAAGACACTGTATGAGGGTCGCAACCACCGAAGACACTGTATGAAGGTCGCAACCACTGAAGACACTGTATGAAGGTCGCAACCACTGAAGACACTGCATGAAGGTCGCAACCACTGAAGACACTGCATGAGGGTCGCAACCACTGAAGACACTGTATGAGGGTCGCAACCACTGAAGACACTGCATGAAGGTCGCAACCACTGAAGACACTGCATGAAGGTCGCAACCACTGAAGACACTGTATGAGGGTCGCAACCACTGAAGACACTGCATGAAGGTCGCAACCACTGAAGACACTGTATGAGGGTCGCAACCACTGAAGACACTGCATGAGGGTTGCAACCACTGAAGACACTGTATGAGGGTCGCAACCACTGAAGACACTGCATGAAGGTCGCAACCACCGAAGACTGCATGAAGGTCGCAACCACTGAAGACACTGCATGAAGGTCGCAACTACTGTATGAGGGTCGCAACCACTGAAGACACTGCATGAAGGTCGCAACCACTGAAGACACTGTATGAGGGTCGCAACCACTGAAGACACTGCATGAGGGTCGCAACCACTGAAGACACTGCATGAAGGTCGCAACCACTGAAGACACTGCATGAAGGTCGCAACCACTGAAGACACTGCATGAAGGTCGCAACCACCGAAGACTGCATGAAGGTCGCAACCACTGAAGACACTGCATGAGGGTTGAAACCACTGAAGACACTGTATGAAGGTCGCAACCACTGAAGACACTGCATGAAGGTCGCAACCACTGAAGACACTGCATGAAGGTCGCAACCACTGAAGACTGCATGAAGGTCGCAACCACCGAAGACTGCATGAAGGTCGCAACCACTGAAGACACTGTATGAGGGTCGCAACCACTGAAGACACTGTATGAGGTTCGCAACCACTGAAGACACTGCATGAGGGTCGCAACCACTGAAGACACTGCATGAAGGTCGCAACCACCGAAGACTGCATGAAGGTCGCAACCACTGAAGACACTGTATGAAGGTCGCAACCACTGAAGACACTGTATGAAGGTCGCAACCACTGAAGACACTGCATGAGGGTCGCAACCACTGAAGACACTGCATGAAGGTCGCAACCACTGAAGACACTGCATGAAGGTCGCAACCACTGAAGACACTGCATGAAGGTCGCAACCACTGAAGACACTGCATGAAGGTCGGAACCACTGAAGACACTGCATGAGGGTCGCAACCACTGAAGACACTGTATGAGGGTCGCAACCACTGAAGACACTGCATGAGGGTCGCAACCACTGAAGACACTGCATGAAGGTCGCAACCACTGAAGACACTGCATGAAGGTCGCAACCACTGAAGACACTGCATGAAGGTCGCAACCACTGAAGACACTGCATGAAGGTCGCAACCACTGAAGACACTGCATGAAGGTCGCAACCACTGAAGACACTGCATGAAGGTCGCAAACCATGAAGACACTGCATGAAGGTCGCAACCACTGAAGACACTGCATGAGGGTCGCAACCACTGAAGACACTGCATGAGGGTTATAACTACCGAAGACACTGCATGAAGGTCGCAACCACTGAAGACACTGCATGAAGGTCGCAACCACTGAAGACACTGCATGAGGGTCGCAACCACTGAAGACACTGCATGAGGGTCGCAACCACCGAAGACACTGCATGAGGGTCGCAGCCACCGAAGACAGTGCATGAGAGTCGCAGCCACCGAAGACACTGCATGAGGGTCACAGCCACCGAAGACACTGCATGAAGGTTGCAGCCACCGAAGACACTGCATGAGGGTCGGAACCACCGAAGACACTGCATGAAGGTTGCAGCCACCGAATACACTGCATGAAGGTCGCAGCCACCGAAGACACTGCATGAAGGTTGCAGCCACCGAAGACACTGCATGAAGGTCGCAGCCACCGAAGACACTGCATGAGGGTCGCAGCCACCGAAGACACTGCACGAAGTTTTCATCCGCCGAAGACACTGCATAAAGGTTGCAGCCACCGAAGACACTGCATGAGGGTCGCAACCACCGAAGACACTGCATGAGGGTCGCAACCACCGAAGACACTGCATGAAGGTCGCAGCCACTGAAGACACTGCATGAGGGTCGCTGCCACCGAAGACACTGCATGAAGGTCGCTGCCACCGAAGACACTGCATGAAGGTCGCAGCCACCGAAGACACTGCATGAGGGTCGCAGCCACCGAAGACACTGCATGAAGGTCGCTGCCACCGAAGACACTGCATGAGGGTCGCAGCCACCGAAGACACTGCATGAGGATCGCAGCCACCGAAGACACTGCATGAAGGTCGCTGCCACCGAAGACACTGCATGAAGGTCGCAGCCACCGAAGACACTGCATGAGGGTCGCAGCCACCGAAGAGACTGCATGAAGGTCGCAGCCACCGAAGACACTGCATGAGGGTCGCAGCCACCGAAGACACTGCATGAGGATCGCAGCCACCGAAGACACTGCATGAAGGTCGCTGCCACCGAAGACACTGCATGAAGGTCGCAGCCACCGAAGACACTGCATGAGGGTCGTAGCCACCGAAGAGACTGCATGAAGGTCGCAGCCACCGAAGACACTGCAGGAGGGTCGCAGCCACAGAAGAGACTGCATGAAGGTCGCAGCCACCGAAGACACTGCATGAGGGTCGCAGCCACCGAAGACACTGCATGAGGGTCGCAGCCACCGAAGACACTGCATGAGGGTCGCAGCCACCGAAGACACTGCACGAAGGTCGCTGCCACCGAAGACACTGCATGAGGGTCGCAGCCACCGAAGACACTGCATGAGGGTCGCAGCCACCGAAGACACTGCATGAGGGTCGCAGCCACCGAAGACACTGCATGAGGGTCGCAGCCACTGAAGACACTGCATGAAGGTCGCAGCCACCGAAGACACTGCATGAGGGTCGCAGCCACCGAAGACACTGCATGAAGGTCGCAGCCACCGAAGACACTGCATGAGGGTCGCAGCCACCGAAGACACTGCATGAGGGTCGCAGCCACTGAAGACACTGCATGAAGGTCGCAGCCACCGAAGACACTGCATGAAGGTCGCAGCCACCGAAGACACTGCATGAGGGTCGCAGCCACCGAAGACACTACAAATCTCCATAATGATACAAACCAAGTCTTCCAGTAGGCCGCAGAAAACAATATGTTCAGTGAGGGCCTATATCAGTTACTTCGGTTATTAGAAAAATTAAAATAAAAGCTAGAACAAAATATATAGCTAATTCTGACCATTGAACAGAGTGAAAAACAAGCATGAAGGACTTAATGGTGATAATGTTAGAGGATGATACACTCAGTAATGCATAACCACTTAAAACTTGTTTAAAGTCAAGCACACTTTGTTAAAATGTGAGGTAATGTTAATAATTTAGAACCATATATATGTTAAATTGAGACTATCTCTACCTTCCCTCAGTGAGACTATCTCTACCTTCCCTCAGTGAGACTATCTCTACCTTCCCTAAGGTGAGAGTAATCAGGTATCAGGTGTCCTGAGCAATGGCTCCCACGGCCTCAGGTGACACAGGTGAATGAAGCGCTGCCTGCCAGGTGCTAGACCAGGGTAGGCAAGGTGCAAGGAACCTCACCTCTCACAACCTCTAATCTCACAACTTCTAAACCCCCACCCTTTTAACACCCCACCCCTCTAATTTCCCATTCTCTAATATACCACTATTCTAATCTACCACCCTACTAATCTACCACCCTACTAATCTACCACCCTACTAATCTACCACCCTACTAATCTACCACCCTACAAATCTACCACCCTACTAATCTACCACATTACCAATCTACCACCCTACTAACATATCACCTCTCTTTCCACAGTTTTTTTACACCTCGTATATGTAATATTCCCACACAGTTTTACAACACCTGGTATATTCCCACACAGTGTTACAACACCTGGTATATTCCCACACTGTTACAACACCTGGTATATTCCCACACAGTGTTACAACACCTGGTATATTCCCACACAGTGTTACAACACCTGGTATATTCCCACACAGTGTTACAACACCTGGTATATTCCCACACAGTGTTACAACACCTGGTATATTCCCACACAGTGTTACAACACCTGGTATATTCCCACACAGTGTTACAACACCTGGTATATTCCCACACAGTGTTACAACACCTGGTATATTCCCACACAGTGTTACAACACCTGGTATATTCCCACACAGTGTTACAACACCTGGTATATTCCCACACAGTGTTACAACACCTGGTATATTCCCACACAGTGTTACAACACCTGGTATATTCCCACACAGTGTTACAACACCTGGTATATAGTTTTTGTCTCGTCTTTAAATTTTGTGTGGAAGTTGAAAGGAGTTTATTTATGTTGTCAAAATTTAGTTCTTTTTTCACTTCTTCTTTTTCAGGTAACGTATTGGCTCTGAGGAACACCTGTCTACCTCCCACACACCTGACACCTGTCTACCTCCCACACACCTGACACCTGTCTACCTCCCACACACCTGACACCTGTCTACCTCCCACACACCTGACACCTGTCTACCTCCCACACACCTGACACCTGTCTACCTCCCACACACCTGACACCTGTCTACCTCCCACACACCTGACACCTGTCTACCTCCCACACACCTGACACCTGTCTACCTCCCACACACCTGACACCTGTCTACCTCCCACACACCTGACACCTGTCTACCTCCCACACACCTGACACCTGTCTACCTCTCACACACCTGACACCTGTCTACCTCCCACACACCTGACACCTGTCTATCTCCCACACACCTGACACCTGTCTACCTCCCACACACCTGACACCTGTCTACCTCCCACACACCTGACACCTGTCTACCTCCCACACATCTGACACCTGTCTACGTCCCACACACCTGACACCTGTCTACGTCCCACACACCTGACACCTGTCTACGAACCACACACCTGATACCTGTCTACGAACCATACACCTGACACCTGTCTACGTCCCACACACCTGACACCTGTCTACGAACCACACACTTGACACCTGTCTACGTCCCATACACCTGACACCTGTCTACATCCCACACACCTGACACCTGTCTACGCCCCACACACCTGACACCTGTCTACGCCCCACACACCTGACACCTGTCTACGCCCCACACACCTGACAGCTGTCTACGTCCTACCCAAATACATATTTCTTTCCCACACGAGGATACCCACACAGTGTGGGAGGCTGGGAGGGCCCGCCATAGTCACAAGGTACCATGTCACAACCAGTTGTGACCCCACAGTCACAAGGTACTATGCCACAACCGGCTGTGACCCCACAGTCACAGGATACCATGCCACAACCGGTTGCGATGCACAGTACACAAACCACACTACCACAACCGGTTGTGAAGCTGCAGAGTGATCCACCACTCCAGGAGAGCCTGGTACCTGAGTGCCGGGTAATGGCAGTAGTGCCAGCAGCTGGCTGTGGCCACAGGATGGCACACACAACACCCAAACAATACTTAGAGGTAAGCTCACCACCCTGTTAGTTTGTTAGAGTTATGTTAGTTTGTTTGGTAACCTGTGGATCTTTTCTTGAGGCAATGTTTTGCTCTATGTAGAGCTCTAACATGCCATAATAAAGTTCTACATAGAGCAAAAAATTATGTAGAAGATAAAACAACTAAGGGGAGACATAATCACGGCATACACAATACTCATGGGACTTTTGGTGCCCTGCCTGTGTGTGGGTTCCGATACATGGGTTGACGTGTTTCTTGTGTGTGTGTGGGCAGGTATGTGGGCGAGCACTGGTGACGCACTGCCTGGTGGCGCTGCAGGAGGTGTCGTGGGTGGCGCGGGTGGTGGTCGTGGCCGACGACCTGGTCAGGATGCAGGGCGTGGTGGAGCGCCTCTCCAAGGTCACTGTCATACAGGTGAGAACAGGTGTGTGACGGGTGTGTTTATGCTGAGGTTATTTGTAGTGTGTTACGGGTGTGGTGTGTGCTGAGGTTGTTTGTAGTGTGACGGGTGTGGTGAGGTTTTAGTAGTGTGTGAGGAAGTATAGCTGCAGCCTGGATTGTTGCTGTATACCAGTCTACTCTACTACTGGTTACAGTAGAGTTACAGAGATCAGATGAGAGGTGTGGGTGAGTTTTGCTCTCTCTGGTTACCCCTGTCAACGCGAGCAAGGTAGCTGGGTGACAGTCATCTGTTGTGGGTTGTAACCTGGCTATGTCAGTGTGTTTGTTGATCAAGCATCCCAGGTGGTACCAAGTGTGTTCAGATGAAGCAGCAGCGGGGTGGGTTTTAGAGACGCTACCGTGGAAGAAACGAGTCTGTCAGGTGACAATGAAACTTTAGTTTTCTTACTTCAGGTTCAAGGTTCAACAAGATTGGCAGAATTTGTCTGTATTCGGAATTGGAAACTTTTCGACGATTTACCACCCAGATGCGGTCTTGACGGCCACATCTCCTGTAACTTGACTCACGAAATCTTAATGACACGACTGCAAACAAAACATACCACGGGCGGGGATAGAACCCGCGATCAGAGAGTCTGGAGTTTTGAGACTCTCTGATCGTGGGTTTTATTCCCGCCCGTGGTATGGTTTGTTTACATCTCCTGTAGTTTAACAATCATGACTAGTCTATCTCAACGATTTTTTGAGAATTTTTGGTTCTAGGTGTATGACTCGACAAATTACCATATCCATCTAACATATGAACCCCACAAATGGCTAGAAAAAAATATAATGCTCAGATTAATCGCAACAGTGACACTTGTTTTAATTACGTACAACTGTGCACTGCTGCCTTACTCTTGTGATAAGCCACGTTGGTGGAACAAACGCTAACTGCGTGAGTTTGATAATGGCATACAATACAGATAAGCTGATAAGTAAGACACATGTGCAACAGTTAGGTATCTTTACTCCGAAACGTATCGCCTACACAGTAGGCTTCTTCAGTCGAGTACAGAGGAGGCAGCAGTATCAGTAGAGGTATAAAGACAATGTAATTAGGCCATCTCACTTGACGTAGTTTTGAGGTGGTCAGTCCCTGAGGGACTGACCACCTAACTATGTTTCCCTGTCATACTCCGTCACACAGGATGGTGTCATACACGGAGCACTGAAATATGTCAGTTTAAGAAGAGATATATTTAATAGGTCGACGAGGATATCGTCAAATATCCCACCGAGGGTTGACTACGTACGTCAGGTTCACGGGTTTCCTTACAGTGGAGTTGAAGTTGTTATTACTTGAGGATTACCATCTGTCTAGAAGAACATTTTATGAGGATATCATCATCACAGATTTTGTGTTCTTTTATATTACTAACTGCATCTCCTGTGGCAGGGTGGAGGAAGCCGTCACAGGTCCATCAGGGCGGGTGTGGAGGCTCTAGCAGACGACCCTCCTGACGTGGTGGTCGTACACGACGGTGTACGACCACTCTTGCCCCTCAACACCTTGGCTGAAGTAGGTACTACTTTGCTCATTGTCTGTGATCCACTCACTGGGTGGATGGAGGGGGGGGGGAGTCTGGAAGCTAGTGAAGGGTTCTTGATTCATGGAAGTGGACCCATCTCTCTTTCCTGGGATCAAACATGGTTCACCTTCCCCGCCCCTTCCACTTCCCAGATGTTGTATGACCTTACAGATTTTGCGTTTCTCAGTAAATATAATAATATGCTCGTGGTGTTTCAACTTGTGTGTGGAATTTCATATATTTGCTTAATGTTATCAGTTGTAACACTTGCAACATTGTCTGGAGTCCCACTCCACCCTCCTCCCTCCTAACACTTGCAACATTGTCTGGAGTCCCACTCCACCCTCCTCCCTCCTAACACTTGCAACATTGTCTGGAGTCCCACTCCACCCTCCTCCCTCCTAAGTAGACTCACCCGTAACCTACCAGTAAACAGGTACCTAGGAGTGTCTCGGCTGTTTTGGGTCACATTCTTGGGTCAAACCGGAAAGACCCTTGTTGAAACTAGGCGTATTTTGGTCCCTGCACGACCCAAGAAAGGTATCCCTGCATTCCACAACCCCAGCCCACTGTGCCTCAGTACAGGCGGCTGGAGCTGTGCACAAAGTGATGTAAGTTTGTAATGCAGATAAATAAATAGCATTGAAGGTTTGAAGGAAATCAGAAGAGACTCAAAAGTCATCATGTGGAAACTAATATCCAAATTTCTTCAGTAGAAATGTTAAATTAGGACATAGACAGACCAGTCGTGATTCAAACTTCGCAGAGAAAGGAGACCTGCATCCTGAAAAGCACAATCATTTTAGGATGCTGTTGAAGCCGCTCAGAAGTTGCATTATCAAGTTACTGACGGTTGAAACTTATCAGATGCGACACTCGGAAATTATAGCATGAAAAGCAGTATTTCAGTTTTCTAAAATTCTTCCAAATCAAAAAGGTAACTTGTGCAGTCCAGGCCAAAATCACTCGAAGCTTTTCACTAGGTAAGATTGATGTACTTGTAAGAAAGTAAGTTCAGTAAATAAGTAAGTTTTATATAAGCTTAGTGTTCGTAATATACGAATTATGAACTGTGGTCTTGAGAGCACACACGTCTTCCACACCTCACCTTCAACACTGTTTAAGATTACATTCTCATACTTTAGCTTCACATCGTTCCAGACCATGGAGCTGAACTCTTCTCCAGGCTGAGGGACTGACCACCTTGTTCCAGACCATGGAGCTGAACTCTTCTCCAGGCTGAGGGACTGACCACCTTGTTCCAGACCATGGAGCTGAACTCTTCTCCAGGCTGAGGGACTGACCACCTTGTTCCAGACCATGGAGCTGAACTCTTCTCCAGGCTGAGGGACTGACCACCTTGTTCCAGACCATGGAGCTGAACTCTTCTCCAGGCTGAGGGACTGACCAACCTGTTCCAGACCATGGAGCTGAACTCTTCTCCAGGCTGAGGGACTGACCACCTTGTTCCAGACCATGGAGCTGAACTCTTCTCCAGGCTGAGGGACTGACCACCTTGTTCCAGACCATGGAGCTGAACTCTTCTCCAGGCTGAGGGACTGACCACCTTGTTCCAGACCATGGAGCTGAACTCTTCTCCAGGCTGAGGGACTGACCACCTTGTTCCAGACCATGGAGCTGAACTCTTCTCCAGGCTGAGGGACTGACCAACCTGTTCCAGACCATGGAGCTGAACTCTTCTCCAGGCTGAGGGACTGACCACCTTGTTCCAGACCATGGAGCTGAACTCTTCTCCAGGCTGAGGACGACCCCTGTTCCACCTTGATCTTCCCAGGACCATGAGCCCTGAAACTTTTCTCCAGGCTGAGGGACTGACCACCTTGTTCCAGACCATGGAGCTGAACTCTTCTCCAGGATGAGGGACTGACTGCCTCAAATACCATTTCTCCAGGGTTACTGGACTGATTACCTCATTTTTACTTCGCTATCATACCTGCGGCCTCTGTATTTCACTGAAAAAAGTTTACTGTGTAGGCGAAACGTTTCAACAGTAAGACATCCAGATATTTATGTGTGTCTTATCATAAGTTGATAAATTAGACACAGGTGTAAGTAACATCTGGGTATCTTTATTTTGTAGACGTTACACTAACCAGTGGATTCATCAGTCTAATACAGGAGAGGCATAATGCAGACTGTAGACGAGGAGGTAATCAGTCGTCAACCATCTTATGGAATGCATTATTGATAATATTTTGAAGGCGATAAAATGGGGCATTGTTTAGTTATTGATAGAAGTCAGTATTACAGTTTATTTAATAAACTTGGCAGACTGTGACTTATGCATTCAGTAACAACGCGAACCTTAATTCTTGAAAACACACCAGGGCTGAAAGTTTGAACCCGATCAGTAGAGGCATTATCCGGTTATCACACGGTTTCCAGGAATTCGAAGTTTTATAAACTAATGTATTAATTACACTGACAAATTTGTACTTTACTGTCCGTGTTAAAATCATTCATAAGAGCTAGACTCAAATATTTTTAACATGATTAAACGGAAATCAAAGTTCCACACTTTGTTACACATAAATTTATCAGATGTGGACCTACACATCTCAGTTTCTGTCTCCGTCGTCGTTGACTCAGAAGACACCTTTTATGCATGTTTAAAGCCGCACCGCAGAGGTTTTTGGAAGTTATCGCAGCCATTCCGGGATACTGGGAATGTGTTCAATAACTTTGGTCACAGGGCGCCTGCACATGCCGGTTATTACCATATTCTTGCTTTAAGTACCGCCCACCACCACTGAAAATTTTAAAACCGAACAGATGTAAGGCCTCGGGTTATGAGCGAAATAATAACGAAAAATTGGAGGAAAAAAAAGAAAAAGAAAAAAATCTGGCAACCACTTGAAAGTCCGTCTGTGAGGATACATGATGACCAACATTACCTGGCTTCCACATGTTATCCTGGGGTAATAACACTATGTTGTGTTGGTGTTATCCTGGGTTACTAACACAATGACTGTGTTGTAGTGGTGTTGGTGTTATCCTGGGTTAATAACACAATGACTGCGTTGTGGTGGTGTTGGTGTTATCCTGGGTTAATAACACAATGACTGTGTTGTGGTGGTGTTGGTTATCCTGGGTTAATAACACAATGACTGTGTTGTGGTGACGCAGGTGGTGTTGGAGGCGGAGCGTCACGGAGCAGCAGGAGCGGTGCGACCTCTGGTCTCCACTGTCGTCAAACCTGACCACCTGAACTTCCTGGAGGAGAGCCTCGTCAGGAGCCACTACCGCAACTCGGAGATGCCGCAAGCCTTCAGGTTCAACGTCCTGAGGGAAGCCTACCGCAGGTCAGCCGCAGCGCAGGACAGAAACGAGGGTGTCAACTTACACAGTTTAGGGCAGTATAAAAAAAAGAGTCACAAGACAAAAATAATGATGATGACAACGATGATAATTAATAGCAGTAGTTAAATTTAAGTCCCATACTAACGTACACAGTTAAAATTTGTGGCAATTTTTAAAACTGTAATTGGTGTAATGTAATTACGATAGATATTAGAGAAACGCTGTTAATGTTGGGATACGATGGAGCAAGCTGTCGTGGACACTGCAGTGAATGTAACTCATTACTTCAAGTATTACACACATGTGCAACATCTGGGTATCTTTAAAGATACGCAGATGTTGCACATGTCTAATTCTTCATCTTGTCGGTTTTGTATACCATTTATGTACACACAAAGCGACAAAATACACACACTGAGAGGTGCTTATCTATATATAATATATATATATATATAATATATATATATATATATAATATATATAATATATATAATATATATATATATATATAATATATTATATTATATATATAATATATATATATATATAATTATAAATATAAATGATATATATTATTATATATATATGCACAGTGAGAGTTTTTCTTTCATAATGATTTTAGGGATCAAAGTGATTTTAGGGATCACAGTTCTTTCAGTTATTTTGACAGTAAGACGTCATCGATATGTGTTGATCCTAACCTGAGAGAACTAACACTAACAGGTGTAGCGAGGATGAACTGGACCACGGGACGGAGTGCCTGGCCCTGGCCCTCCACCACGCAGGTATCAGGGCCAAGCTAGTACCTGGCACCTCACACCTTTGGAAGGTAGGTGCTGGCTGCAGCTCCTGGTTCTTGCACCTGCCCGTCAAGTGTACATGCAACGTGAAGGAGTTATGGCTGCCGGAGTGATGTGTTTAGTGAAGGATGGATCAGGCTATATCCAGTTCTTGTTTGTACCTGTTGTACCAGTTCTTGTTTGTACCTGTTGTACTAGTTCTTGTTTGTACCTCATGTACTAGTTCTTGTTTGTACCTGATGTACTAGTTCTTGTTTGTACCTGTTGTACCAGTTCTTGTTTGTACCTGTTGTACTAGTTCTTGTTTGTACCTCATGTACTAGTTCTTGTTTGTACCTGATGTACTAGTTCTTGTTTGTACCTGTTGTACCAGTTCTTGTTTGTACCTGATGTACTAGTTCTTGTTTGTACCTGTTGTACTAGTTCTTGTTTGTACCTGTTGTACTAGTTCTTGTTTGTACCTGTTGTACCAGTTCTTGTTTGTGCCTGTTGTACCAGTTCTTGTTTGTACCTGTTGTACTAGTTCTTGTTTGTACCTGTTGTACCAGTTCTTGTTTGTACCTGATGTACTAGTTCTTGTTTGTACCTGATGTACTAGTTCTTGTTTGTACCTGTTGTACTAGTTCTTGTTTGTACCTGTTGTACCAGTTCTTGTTTGTACCTGTTGTACTAGTTCTTGTTTGTACCTGTTGTACTAGTTCTTGTTTGTACCTGTTGTACTAGTTCTTGTTTGTACCTGTTGTACCAGTTCTTGTTTGTGCCTGTTGTACCAGTTCTTGTTTGTACCTGATGTACTAGTTCTTGTTGTTTGTACCTGTTGTAACTAGTTCTTGTTTGTACCTGTTGTACTAGTTCTTGTTTGTACCTGTTGTACTAGTTCTTGTTTGTACCTGATGTACTAGTTCTTGTTTGTACCTGTTGTACTAGTTCTTGTTTGTACCTGTTGTACCAGTTCTTGTTTGTACCTGATGTACTAGTTTTTGTTTGTACCTGTTGTACTAGTTCTTGTTTGTACTGTTGTACTAGTTCTTGTTTGTACCTGTTGTACCAGTTCTTGTTTGTACCTGTTGTACCAGTTCTTGTTTGTACCCGATGTACTAGTTCTTGTTTGTACCTGTTGTACTAGTTCTTGTTTGTACCTGTTGTACTAGTTCTTGTTTGTACCTGTTGTACCAGTTCTTGTTTGTACCTGTTGTACTAGTTTTGTTTGGTACCTGTTGTACCAGTTCTTGTTTGTACCTGTTGTACCAGTTCTTGTTTGTACCTGTTGTACTAGTTCTTGTTTGTACCTGTTGTACCAGTTCTTGTTTGTACCTGTTGTACTAGTTCTTGTTTGTACCTGATGTACTAGTTCTTGTTTGTACCTGTTGTACTAGTTCTTGTTTGTACCTGTTGTACCAGTTCTTGTTTGTACCTGTTGTACCAGTTCTTGTTTGTACCTGTTGTACCAGTTCTTGTTTGTACCTGTTGTACTAGTTCTTGTTTGTACCTGATGTATCATACACACAGTGTTACCACCTACTGTACCATACATACAGTGTTACCACCTACTGTACCATACATACAGTGTTACCACCTACTGTACCATACATACAGTGTTACCACCGGGTACTGTACCATACATACAGTGTTACCACCTACTGTACCATACATACAGTGTTACCACCTACTGTACCATACATACAGTGTTACCACCTACTGTACCATACATACAGTGTGTGCCACCTACGTACCATACATAAGTGGGTTACCACCTACATGGTACATACCATACAGTGTTACCACCTACTGTACCATACATACAGTGTTACCACCTACTGTACCATACATACAGTGTTACCACCTACTGTACCATACATACAGTGTTACCACCTACTGTAACCCAACATACAGTGTATACCACCTACTGACCATACATACAGTGTTACCACCTACTGTACCATACATACAGTGTTACCACCTACTGTACCATACATACAGTGTTACCACCTACTGTACCATACATACAGTGTTACCACCTACTGTACCATACATACAGTGTTACCACCTACTGTACCATACATACAGTGTTACCACCTACTGTACCATACATACAGTGTTACCACCTACTGTACCATACATACAGTGTTACCACCTACTGTACCATACATACAGTGTACCACCTACTGTAACCTACATACAGTGTTACCACCTACTGTACCATACATACAGTGTTACCACCTACTGTACCGTACATACAGTGTTACCACCTACTGTACCATACACAAACTTTCATCTAACACAAATCTGGCTGAGTTTGCTTGTTAATGGAGTTTAAAGCCTATCGACTGCACGAGGGTCATTCAGGTTTGACTTAACCATTCAGCACCAGATGAGAATACGTTAATTTCTAAAATACGGATTAAAGTAAACTCTCAGCATAAATACACTGAGAAATATACACATCTCAGTGTATATATCCTGTGACAGATCTGGTGTCATGTTGGTCACGTTCATTGTTCTTTTGTTTCTTAAATTCATCGTTTATCTTTTTTTTTACGTTGTGTTCGCTCCATGTGCTTTTACGTTTCATTTTATAGCATCTAGAATATTATTCATGATGTGTAATTTGCGTTTAGTGTGGTTAAGAATAAGTCTGAGAAAACTAATCATTTGATTCAGGTTTGTTTCCCAGTCCAGGTGTTAACATATGGACAACTAATTCAGTGTGTGTTGATACCCAGTGTTGAACTCCTGATTTTTTAAGATTTTTTCGAGTTTTGGTTATAACTAGGGGGGGGGGTAAGAGTTGATCCAGCAGCGCTGTCAGAGATGACGACGACGAGGTTAATAATTACTGTCGTTCACCATATAAGCAGTTGAGTAGTTTTTACCATGTTTATAATTGTTCTGAGCTGGCGTCTAGATGAGTTCTTTTTTTTTTGCTGTGATTAAATATAAATTACTTTGTATAATTGTTTTACAGATAACAGAGGAGCGGGACCTGGTTGTGGCTCGGGCAGTATTAGGTCCCTACACTCGCTGTGTTCGTCTCATCTGTGGTGCTCTTGCTAAAGCCCCCACCTGCCACAGCTATCCAGAGTCTTCAGCTGAACACCCGCCTCTAGGATCACTCCTAGACACTAGGACATCCAGCGCTGATAAGAATGCTCAGTGTTGTGAAGTTCCTGTCAGCTCCCATTACTCGGGGATCCAAGGAAACAGATCTGAATCTCATTTTACCAAGCCTGACGTCGGTGCGCCTCTCAAGTGTGGCATCGAGTGCTTGTCTGTGTTCGCCGCACTGCAAAGTTCACTCAGGAACAATTCAAAACACCTGTACGTCTCACATGATTTTATTGCCTCTACATCGTGCTCTGCTGTGATCGTTATCACCGTACTGGACACTGTGGAGGAGTGGGAGACGTCCCTCAAAGTTATCTCTCAAGGCATCAACAAGCATATGTCCCAGGCTGTTCTTATATTCACTCTGAGGATAAGGGAGCGCAATGTGACTTTATTAAACATTACACAACTTCAGCATCAGCTTCGGAACATATTTCATGAGCACCTAACCACTGTAACGGCTATCTTAAAGTTCTCCACACTAGCTTCCCTCAGTCAGTCAGGCAAATCAAACTGCTCAGGAACACAGGGTCATGAGCTCCACATTTCGCAAAACACTACAGACATATCGAAGGAAACAGCATGTCAGAACATTATTAATGAGCCGGAGTTTAGTGACGAAGACAACCAGTTGGTTAATATGGTGACCACGTTGCTGGACCAGACCACCAGGTGCTTCCATGGGCAGGTTCTGGTGCAGTGAGACAGGTACGACTGTGTTAACTTGGCAGGGGATGACAAATGTTTCTTTTCCTCTGTTGTGAATGAAGATCTTTCCATTTTCAACATTAAAGTGAAGATCAGACGTAGCTGCATCCACGAATATTTTAGCGTCTGGTATTCATTAGAAAGAACACGCTCCAGTGTTTCTGGGTTACGTTTTTCTAGTGTTTATTTTCTACGTTGCTGTCTTCCAATATAGTCTTGGGACCAGGTATCATCTCACCTTGCAACATAGTCTCAGGACCAGGTGTCATCTCACCTCCCAACATAGTCTTAGGACCAGGTGTCATCTCACCTCCCAACATAGTCTTGGGATCAGATGTCATCTGACCTCCCAACATAGTCTTAGGACCAGATGTCATCTCACCTTCCAACATAGTCTTAGGACCAATGTCATCTGACCTCCCAACATAGTCTTAGGACCAGATGTCATCTCACCTTCCAACATAGTCTTAGGAGCAGGTGTTATTTCACCTCCCAACATAGTCTTGGGACCAGGTGTCATCTCACCTCCCAACATAGTCTTGGGACCAGGTGTCATCTCACCTCCCAACATAGTCTTGGGACCAGATGTCATCTCACCTCCCAACATAGTCTTGGGACCAGGTGTCATCTCACCTCCCAACATAGTCTTGGGACCAGGTGTCATCTCACCTCCCAACATAGTCTTGGGACCAGGTGTCATCTGACCTCCCAGCAGAAACTCTTGGAACATCACACCTTCTAACAGAATCGTGGAATAGCATCTAACAAGACGTCGTGGAACAACACTCTTATCTCCCAACGCAAAATCTTGGAACAATAAAAAGCGACCGAATCTCAGGAGGATATTTTTTTTCCTTTTTGCGCATCTAATTAAAACTCTGGTTTTGTGCTGAAGAAATTTTAAACACATGGGGCGGGAATGTGATATATTTTATTATACTGAGTTAATAAACTGTTTTGATAACAGTGTTGAAATAAGTGTTGGAAATAAGTCACTCTGACTTTTTTTTGGGTTATCCCAGGTTCTCTACACATATGCTGCTATGTATGATAATGTATGGAAATGTATTTGTGTATACCTGAATAAACTTACTGTTCACCCTTACACATATTACCAACATTCTCTCTCTCTCTCTCTCTCTCTCTCTCTCTCTCTCTCTCTCTCTCTTTCTCTCTGTTAAGGAACGGCCCCGGGACCCCACACGCCTTAAGGGAAGCGCCCCTTGGGCACATAAGACACTAAAGGAAGGGCCCCGGGGTGACTAAGGGCCCCAGGGTGACTAATGGCCCTGGGGTGACTAAGGGCCCTGAAGGAGGGGCCAGAGCACAAGAAGGACCAGAGTCTTACAAAACAGGTCTGGAACACAAGACAAGTCTGACGCACAAAACGAGTTTGGAGCAAATGACAGGTCTGGAACACAAGACAGGTCTGGAACACAAGACAGGTCTGGAACACAAGACAGGTCTGGAACACAAGACAGGTCTGACACAAGACAGGTCTGGAACACAAGACAGGTCTGGAACACAAAACAGGTCTGGAACACAAGACAGGTCTGGAACACAAGACAGGTCTGGAACACAAAACAGGTCTGGAACACAAGACAGGTCTGGAACACAAGACAGGTCTGGAGTAATGTGACGTCAGAGAAAGGACGCTATAAATATATTGTATAAATTGCCTTTTCATATAATTTTATATTGCTGATGTTTTCATTAATAGCTAAAATGAAAATATCATGTTTTTTATTATTTGACTTATATATTCAACTTATGTATGAAGGAAGAATGTAACAGCTACACCACTCATTGTGCTTGCTGGAGGAGAGTTTTGATTGGCTGCCAATGCTGCAAACTACCTGCTCGCTTGTTTCTCAGTTTGTGTCAGACTCAAGCTGGTGTGAGTATCTGAGTAACCTGACGCTGGATCTGCAGGCTTTACTGCTCTCTCGCTCTCTCTCACTGTTGCTCGTGGAGGAAACATCTCTGTTCTCTCAGCTCATGTTATTTAGACTCTGTTTTTGGTAGAGTATGTCTCTCATGGTGAGCTGGGACATGCATTCTTGTAACTGTGCAACTCATTTCACAGAGCATTATTTATAGACTTAGTGGTATTTGACGTTTTCAGAGGTTGTGTCGTGGAGACACTGTATCTGTGGTCCCGAGTTCAACTCTCGACCTATATGTCTTCTGGCATCTTCGCACTGTCATAGTCAGGAGACTGGAATTGCTGAACTAAGTTTCAGTAATAAGGGAGTTTAGTCTTTTTTGGGAGGATCTGCTGAAGGTCTCCAGTTAGGGTCATTTCAGTCTCCTTGATTCCTTGCCTGACGCTGTGCTGATCACTGTTGCTTCCAGCATTACTGCTGTTTGGCGAATGGGTCGTCATATTGTTCAAGCAAGCTGTTTGATTGCCTCAGTGGTCCAGAAGTTAGCTTATTTAGGGACTTTTCGTTGTCAGTCACATTCTAAGTCAAATTATTCTGACTAGATACCGAGCACTTACACAGACACAAACACTTACACAATATTACTCCTGTACATCTCATCATAGCAACGTATAAGACGGTACATATTATGAGTACAGTATTTTATCAAATATGCCGATAACACCATATGATTATATGTACAAAATAAGTACGATATATAAGTATAGTAAGTTATACTCCAGGAGTTGTGTAGGAGCTTATCTCCTTAATTATTCAAACTACATTAACTGTAATTATTACCTCCCAGACACCTTTGTTATTAAAGATCTCAACTTTTATTTGGATTGGTTTGTATTCATCCAGTTGCAATCCAAAACGCGTTATTGAGAAGCCACATGATTTATGGGATAACTGGACTAGAATACACTGGCAAACTGTATGAGACCAGAAACATGCTAGATCCTAGATTGGGATCAATAAGTGACCTTGTATTCTCGGGAGACAATTCACTTAAGAGATGTCGCATTTTGTAAATGGAACACAAGACAGGTCTGGAGCATAAGACAGGTCTGGAGCACAAAACAGGTCTGGAACAAGACAGGTCTGAAACACAAGACAGGTCTGGAGCACAAGACAGGTCTGGGGCACAAGACAGATCTGAAGCACAAGACAGGTCTGGAGCACAAGACAGGTCTGGGGCACAAGACAGATCTGAAGCACAAGACAGGTCTGGAGCATAAGACAGGTCTGGAGCACAAACAGTGTCTGACAAACCAGTTCTGATCACAAGACAGGTCTGAGCACAAGACAGTCTGAGTCCATCAGACAGTTCTGGAATTACAATGTAACAGTTATGTGATAACTCCTAAACTGTACTAATTGGGTCTGGAGGCGCTAAGGTTGACTCGGGTCTTGCTGAGTTATGTATCCTTGCCCTCCCCACTTCTGCCATTCGCTCCTACCTTCCAACCCCTTACTTCCAGACCATGTGTCTCACTCCTTTTCTTCAGACCTTCCCCTCAAGGTAGTCCTTGATTGTGAGGCTCTTGATTGAGGACATTGGAGTGCTCCAGTTCCCCGAATTACACGCTGAATGCTATCACATCCCCCCCCCCCCCAGGCGCTGTATAATCCTCCGGGTTTAGCGCTCTCCCTTGATTACTAAAATAATAAAAGTAATACTCCGACCTCATCTTCAACCTTTGTCTGTCTAGATCCTTGCTCCAGACTCTTCTTCCAGACGACAATGCGTGTTCCAACTTTTATCTGTCCAGACCGTTGTCTTCCTAGATCCCTGTCTTCTTACCTTTGTCTATCAGATATCCCTTTTCCTGACGCACACACAGCCCTTACCCTTCCATTCTGGCGTAATCTTGTTTGTCTACCTCCCGCTTCCTGAAGTTCACCATGGCACCTCACCTACCCACCAGACCCCCTGCAACCCACCTGCTCCCACCCCCCCGAACATACCTGATGAGTAATGAGTTTCTTAGAGTGAAGGAGGTAATTTTAATGTATGCTCCTCCGTTGCGATTACTTAAGTATGTTTGTTGTCGTTCAGTTCCTGTGGCTTGTTGTTGTTGTCTAGTCATTATTTTCAATCATAGGAAAGCACTCACCTGCCGGTCATACCTGAGAGACTAAGGATGGTAGCAATCAGTCATGATCCAGGAAGAGAGAGTAATTCTTCCAGTCATTTAGATCAGACCCATCAAGCTGGTGTGGCCTTCGCATACTGAGACAGCGACACTGTGACCATCCTGTGTATTACTGTAGACAAGCGCCCTAACACAAGCAGCAGTAACATCACCAGCAGTAGCACCAGTAGCTCCTACACAGACCATACACATAGCAGACACAGTAGCACTAGCAGTAGCAGTAACCAGAGCATCCACCGTAGCAATAATACTGAGCAGAAGCAGCAGTAGTCACGTCCCGGCTTCATGAGGACTCAAAATGCACTCCGTCATTACATTGCACAGGAAAGAGCTCAAATCGTATGACTATATATGGCCTGGGGTCTGAGAATCAGGTTCAGATATCATTGAGTAGAAATGTATGGACATTTTTGTACTAGAAGATTCAATGTTCGGTTTATGATCATTACATTAAAAGACAGTTTCGTCCACCAAGACAAATTCTAGTGAGAAAGTATTCTCAGTCAGTCCTAAACGACATAGCCCTCTTTCCCGTACATACTCATTTAACCAGGAAAAGGGTGTCTGGACTAACTCCAGAGCAGTACTCATGATACAATGGAATACTCCAAAAATATTCCCGAGAGACAGGTGACCTAACCAAGCTTTTACTGGGACAAGCATGTAAATTCCGACATACTGAGAACATATGAAGAACTTCTAACTAACGTGTGTTTTCAATGAGCGTCCCCCTAGTTCATTACTGAGACCACAGCGGCTCCCGTCCTTCAGATTCCTTTATTATCCTAAGAACAAATGATCTCGTCATTCCGCTTGAGAGCGACGAGGGTTTCTTTACACTTGTGCTCATCAGCAGTAGAAAAGTGGTCGTCGGTATTCCGCTGTGAGACAGCTGAGTTTGTTGGTGCCCGTCACCTCTGTAGATTCGCACAGTGCTCCGTTCCCTCATTACTGAAGATCTCCTCCATAATTCGCCAGAGGACAAGTGCTCCTGCCGTCATTACCTGAGACAAGTGCTCCTCCCTTCATTACCTGAGAGACAAGTGCTCCTTCCATTATTACCTGAGAGACAAGTGCTCCTCCCATCATTACCTGAGATACAAGTGCTCCTCCCGTCATTACCTGAGAGACAAGTGCTCCTCCCGTCATTACCTGAGAGACAAGTGCTCCTCCCGTCATTACCTGAGAGACAAGTGCTCCTCCCGTCATTACCTGAGAGACAAGTGCCCCTCCCATGGAGAGCATTTCACAAATAACATTACGGTCCGTACTGGACTGAGTCACAACTGAGAGTTAAAATAATGAAAAAAAAGAAAAAAAAAAGAAATCGGGTCATTTGAAAAGGCGAGGGGAAAAAAAGATATTTCAGATGAAGATATGAGGAGCAAACAGAAGGAAGATTCTTAAATCTTTAAATCTTTAAGAGGCGAAGAAAACCCAAGGTCAAGTCACTTGTGTTCTGAATATTAGAATATTTGACAGTGTACCTCGATAGGTAAGCACCAACAAAATAAATCTGTGACTAAGTTTCTGTCAGGAGTGCTGTATATAAGGTCCGAGTTAGAACAACCACATTTGTGGCAAAAACCAGCTTGCTGAATGACTATGGTCCCTAACATGACATAAAATAGCGTTGTCCATGTCAGCAAGCCTAACACTTCTCTTATTCGCCTCATTTCTGCCGGAAAGGGAGCGGCCAGTACCATCAGAGCGTTGGAGAGGACAGGAAATAGAGTAGACACGGTTTAAGTTT